ACGTCCTGAAACACGTGATTTTTCTTGATTTTTCTTGAATTTCACAAATATTTTCCAAATGCTATTGACATTTTTTAAAAGTAGCACAATGGTTTTTTTTACACTGGATGCATATTTTTTTAATCGGAAAAGCTAAAATCCTGCCGGCAGGATTTTTGCAACTTATCCGAACGACTCGGTTGCCGTTAGATTCGGATCTAACGCATCACCCGCACGTCCTGAAACACGTGATTTTTCTTGAATTTCACAAATATTTTCCAAATGCTATTGACATTTTTTAAAAGTACCACAATGGTTTTTTTTACACTAGATGCATATTTTTTTAATCGGAAAAGCTAAAATCCTGCCGGCAGGATTTTTGCAACTTATCCGAACGACTCGGTTGCCGTTAGATTCGGATCTAACGCATCACCCGCACGTCCTGAAACACGTGATTTTTCTTGAATTTCACAAATATTTTCCAAATGCTATTGACATTTTTTAAAAGTAGCACAATGGTTTTTTTTACACTAGATGCATATTTTTTTAATCGGAAAAGCTAAAATCCTGCCGGCAGGATTTTTGCAACTTATCCGAACGACTCGGTTGCCGTTAGATTCGGATCTAACGCATCACCCGCACGTCCCGATTTTAACGTGATTCCCGCTCGGGACTTGTTTTTCCCTCGTTGGTAAAAAACTTGCAGAACATGGTATCGAACCCAGCACCTCTTGGTTTCTAGCAGTGCTCCATAACCACACGGACTATATTCAGGTTGTGACCTCATCTAGGTTACGTTGTTTTTGTACTTGTAAAACCCATGACGTGAATAATAAACTTTTTTTTTCCTTTTTTACACCGATTTTTCCTACTATTTTTTCTTCGTTTAATAGTCAAATGGCTCAGCTACTCTGTTAGTATTTTTTTTACTACATTGTGATAGCTTTGACTAACAAAATAAATGTTGAAATACACCACCGATATTTTGGGTGTAAATAGTATGAGAATTTTAGGCACCATAGACCTGATTACTCATGTGCAACACCTTGATAACTTTGGCACGTGGAGGGGGAGGGGGGTGTAGAAACATACACACGGTAACTTCATTCCAAAATACTAATAGCAAGGTATTTTTACGTCGCAAGCCTGGTAACTTACATAAAACATTTGTGGTAACTTTTTGACCCGGAAAAAATAGCTGTTGAAACATACGACGTTTTTCTAAAAAACATGGTAAGAGCATATACAGTCTGGTGCCTCAAACCGCCCTCAAGCGCCCGGGCTTTCATTTTTCCATTTTCTCTTTGTGAAATACTGCTTGGATAAATTAAGAATTAAATTCAGTTTCAAGAGATAAATCGGAGGGATAGTAGATGCAGTTTGTGTCATGTAGATGTCCTATTATATTTATGAAAACACTAAAATCTGAACCACCCCGATAACTTCTATGTAATAGCATGTTCGGCTCCATGGAGTCGATAACTTGCATATAAATACCCAGGGGTAACTTTAATCCCGGGAATAAGTTGTTGAAAAACACCTTGGTAACTTATTTGTACATCACATGGTAATATACACATTGCAGACCAGATAACTTAGGTACAAAGACCACGTTAACGTTGACCTTGAAAAAAAAATATTGAAAATATACTCCGGTAATATCTGTGTAAAATAACATGGTAATATAGGCTTCCGGACCTGATAACTTAAGCACAAACACCTCGATGACTTTTGACCCTTGTAAAATAGTGTTTTGGAAACATACTTCGATAACATCTGTATAATAACATGGTAATATAGGCTCCCGGACATGATAACTTAGGTACAAACACCTCGATAACTTTTGACCCGTGAGAAAAAGTTGTTGAAAACACACTCGGTAGGATATGTGTAAATAACATGGTAATATATGCACACCAGAGCTGATACCTTATTTACCCCAGATATGCTATCTTTTGACACACATTTTTTTTAAACATGCCAAATGATATCTAGTTTCGAAGGTCTCGCCGTGGTGGATTTTTTTTTGTGAAAACAGATTGTGGATGAGATAGGCGATTCGAGCGACAAAACATTTTGAAATTTTAAAACAAAAAGAATCCCCGATGACATTAGCTTTTCTGCACTTTTAGTGCATTTGCATTTGGGGAGAAAGTTGAAAGAAGTCATTTTTATGCCCGAAATTTGCCTATGTAAACATCATGGTAAGCGATGTGTCATATACATGATAACTGGTATACCCTATGCGTGGTAACTTTTACCTGGGAAAAAAAGTCGTCGAAACATATCAATACGGGATCTAGTTTCGAAGTTCTCGCCGCGACGATTCTTTTATGTGAAAACAATTTTTCGATCGGAGCAATGGTTTGGCCTACGAAATATTTAGCATTTCTTGAATCATGAGGGAATCTATAGTGATGTCATCAATTTTGTCTCACATGAATGCATGTAATTAAGCTTTCTAACAAATGCCATGCATAGTACATGATGGAGAAAAAAGCATTAAGTATCACATGCATGTGGAGAAAAACAGATGCAATCGCGAGCTAGAAACGGGCTGCATGTGGATCGTCCGGATCTATCGCTATAATCAGGACGTCTGGAAGTTAGCACTGTCTTTTTCTAATATAACTAAATTAATTTTGAAACACATTTATTTATAAGATTTCAAAATATGAATACTAGGATAAAATAAAAGGAAAATAGAAAAGAAAAACAAACGTACTTATAACTAAAGAAAACCCGCAAGCTAACAAACTAACCCTATTGGATCAGCCCACTACTAACTCCCCCCTCCCCAATCCCCGCCGCCGCACCAATCCTCCCCTCTCCCGGCAAAGCCCTTGGTCGGTGTGGCGGATCCTTGATCGAAGATGATACGGCGGGTTCTAAATTTGGTGGTGGAGAACAGCTCCACCGGCGTTCACTCGGTGCGCCGGATCGATCCTTACAAGCATCTCTTCTACGGGTCAGCAGACGAAGCGGCGGCAGCGAACGCGAACAAGGGGATGGTGGATGGTGCCGCGGGAATGCAGACCCTCGTCCTCCCCGACCCGGCCGTGAGCTTCGCTCCGTCCCCCGCTTCCCTGCCGCATATGGCCGGCCTGGATCTGTTCGCGCTCCTGGGCACCCGCGGGAGCGAGGGCAGGATCGTGAGTGCCAACGTGGCTGGTGAGAGCGTGTTGTACGACGCCCACGAGCGCCTCTTCCTCAGCCTCCCCTGGCTCAAAGAGCCCAAGGGGTTCCGCCCCGTGTGCATCTCCGTCGCCCAGCCCGGCGCCCCCGAGGACAGCCTCTACGCCATGGAGTCCATGCATCAACATCGCTCTAGCGAGGGCCACGATCAGGCCGGGTCCTGCTCCGAGGTTCTTGAGTACGGGCCTACGCACGGCGGTGAGGAAGTGTGGGACATGCATCCAGGCTGGCACTGGCGGGCTCTTCCGCAGCCTCCCTTCATCGTCCGGCCTGGCAACAAGTCCTCCTACATCACCTCCTACGCGACCACGGTCAACGCCAACGGCTGCTCCACCATCTACATGTCATGGGAAGGCAGTGGCATCGGCACCTACTGCTTCGACACGTCGCGGCACGTGGAAGAATGGCGGTACGTCGGGGACTGGACGCTGCCGGTCCGCTGGGGAGCCAAGTAGTACGTCCCTGAGTTCGACCTGTGGTTCGGCTTCTCGGCGCACAGCCCTAAGTTCCACTTGTGCGCTTTGGATCTTTCTGCCATGGCGCAGGACCAACAGCAGCCCGTCGTGCAGCATGTTTTTGAAGATCTGAACACGCCGAGGCCGACGGAAGAGGACTGGGGTCTAATGACTGCCGAGCTGGTGATCCTCGGCGACGGCAAGTTCTGTGTTGCCAAGTCCTTTGAAGCCGATTACACGCACTTTGCGTGCTCGCTGGCATAGAGATTGTGCGTGGCGACGACGGCGGCCTCCACATGGTCAGGCACAAGTGCACATGTTACTACTTCGTCAAGGATGTCATCAAATGTGTACTGTGAAGTATCTGAATAAGAAATGAGCAGTTTTAACATGGTCCCTCTTACCCTCCGAAACAATAAGTGTATCAAGAAAAAATTACTTATGTCCTCAAAAGGAGAAGCATTCATTCTGACCAAGAAGTCCCCAAACTGTGGGCCGTGGAGGAAGAATCTCACCTGCATTCTCGACTTGTTAGTCACTTGAGTACGATGCACTCGATGAGATCATCTATCTTAGGTCCTAGTTAGCTCATGGACATCATCTAGTTCGGAGGAATCGTCCTTGGCAGCGCTGAAAAAAGAAGGAAGAAGGTGGTGACAGGGTTCCATGTGGAGCCGAGTTGGATCGAGGGATTAAGTTTAGGGGATCTGCTGTTCGAGAAAAGGTTTAATCTCTTAAGAAATTGACTTTTCGGGAGAAGGAAAAGGTTCAACACTTTTAGAACACATGTCCTGCTAGAGGTGCTCCAAATTGGTTTCTTTTATTACAATGAGCGAGGTGACGCAAATAGGCCACACATCGGACAGACGGAAATTGGTGCGGCTGGTTTATTAGTTATGCCAGCGACTCAAGGGGGCTTTTAGCCATATCGATTGAAATAGTTTGTTGATGTGATTGTTTTTTTTTCAGTGGCCCAAGAGGTCTTTTGGTTTAGCAAGCATCCGCTTTTGCATCCACGTCTGCACCATATTCACTTCGTATTTTTCATGGTAGTATTTTTTTCATATTTGTTTAGGGGATTCTGTATTCGGTTTCACTTCGCAAAAAACGAAGACAAATGCGACGGCACTCAATTTCATCAGTTTTTCCATCCCTACTTCACTACCAAAATATATCTATTGAAAATTCAGCATGCCCAGTTCTTTTGTCTAAGTACCATGAGCATGGGTTGATTCCCTAAACTTAACTCCTATTTTGTTCTCTTTCGCTAGTTCTCATCTCCGTATGCATTAAAAGAATATCATTTCAACTATATTGAAAAAATGGAAAAAAAATTGGCCCCTTTTGTCGATCAACTTGTGTGCATCACACATGCTCGCGGGGAGGGGGGTCGTGTGGTGGTGGCTTCGGCCTCTTGCTCAGTGCTGGTGGCGGCAGGAGGCCCAGAAAGTGGAGGTAGTGGCGATGTGACTGGGAATAGATGGCGTCAGGTAGCTGATGTCGATGTGGCATTCAATCTTTGTATGGCAGTTTCTCTTAGAATATTTCTAAGGAATTTGCTAAATAGTGATTCAATATTCACACGAGTGACATCCACAAATGTACATTCAGTTTTGCAGGCAAAAGCTCGGGGTTTACTTCTTGCAGCAAAGTTGTCAAGGCTTTAAACTAGAATATAGTCGCCTTCTCTAATTGCAGGAGATTGGTGAAAGCCGCTGAAGCCAAGAATTTACTTGAGCACCCAGGGCATTGGATGATCAGGCCTGCTCTAGCAAATTTCTTTAACCTCACTTCTAGTCTCCGTCCATGCAAGATCAAGCACATTGCTTAGCTTAAGAATCTTATGGTTGGACATGGAGTATCTGCTCCCGAGCTCAAATGCTCCCTGAGAATAGTAAAATAGAAAGAAAAAAAAACATCTGTTTTTTTGTGGTAGCCTTTGATAGATGTTTTGTGTGCTTGCAAAAATTTATCATGAAGGGACATTCCTGCAATTCGTGGTAAAATAAACAAAATCGATGCTCAATATTTTTTTTAAAAGCATTTTGGAATGCTGATTTTTTCGCCATGACTTTCAAAGTATCATTTGGTGATGAAACTTGTCAAGCACACAAAATAATTTGTCAAAGTTTCTCACCAAAAAAAATCAGAATTTTTTAAATTTCTTCCATTTTTTCTCGTTTTTACTGTTCATCCCGAGCTCATTTGAGCTCGAGATTAGAAGAGGACTTTCCACTCATACTCTAGCAAAATAAGCTTTCTTGTGTAGAGCATCCTTTAGTTGCACTTTCTTATGTGGCAAAGCCTCTAGATGTAATTCCAAAATGGTTTTATAAGCCATCTCTTTTACTATGGGGAAACTAGTTTCTGAACATCGTCTTTTTTTGCGGGAAAACTTTCAATCTGTTCATCCTCAATCACGATGGTACAACGAATACCAGAAATGTAAAATTCACATCCAGATCTGTAGACCACTTAGCGACGACTACAAGCACTGTAACGAGCCGAAGGTGCATAGTCGTCATCGCCCCTCCCCCACTGGAACCGGGCAAAACTTGTTGTAGTAGACAGTCGGAAAATCGTCGTGCTAACGCCCTATAGGACCAGCGCACCAGAATAGCAACCGCTGCCGTTAAAGAGAAGCTTAGATCAAAATGATCCCACCTGTAAACACATGAGCACACACGAATAAAGACCGGATCCACGTGGATCCACCGGAAACAAACGCCGACCGATTCTCGCAATATCCGCTGAAGACAAATCTCCACACGCCCTCCGATGATACTAGAAGCACCACCGAGACGAGGGTCGGGCGAGGAAAACCTTATTCCATCTTCAGAGAGCCACCGGCGCCTCGTATATCTGAGTAGGACACAAACCCTAAGAAAACTCAGGAAAGCATCCCAAAACAAAGCCCACCCGCCGGCAAGATCCAGAATCCATCAAGCCTCCATGGCCCAAAGGCCACCGGAGACGAGGTGGACCCGCGCCGACATCGGCGGGAGGCAGAAGAAACCCTAGCGGCGGCTGGGTACAAGAGCCCCATCCCTTCCGGCTGGGTACAGTTTCTGTACACCGTTTAGGTTGCTAAATAAGCCCTCTTTGAGGGCTCTCTGTGTGCCAAAAGAAAATGTAGCTGATGTAATAATAATTGATGAGTACCGAATGCGATTCCATAACAATGCACGGTAGCGTATGCGACTGTGCATCACACACGTACGGTACAGCCGGCGACAAAAGAAAGGACTGATTCACAAGAGGATACATGTACGATTTGCACGACTAGCTCGATTAGCACATGCACGAACGTACGAAAAGAAAGCTCAATCTAAATCGAGAACCGCGAACTACAGTGTGGCCGATCGATCGATCATCCATCGCACTCACGCACGCCGTTATTTGCTTATAATGAAAAAAAAAAAACAGAAGGAATGCGCGCGTCTGTGGATGGATCACCAGCCGGTCCGACGGACCTAGCACCGGCTGGGCACGTTGCCGATGCCGCACTTGGAGGGGATCTGCATGGCGCGGCGGGCGTCGATGTTGCCCGCGGACGCGAGCAGGCCCTTCTTCTGGCACACGCACCGGAGGTTGGCTCCCCTCAGCACGGCGCAGCACTGCCCGCTCGGCGTAGCCTCCCGGCTGCCTCTCGCGCAGTACGACCTGCACGCGCCGATCATGCGGTACACGTCCACATTGCACATCATCAGCGTGCCGGGCGCCGCGCCCGCGCCCGACACGGCCGCCATGGCCAGCAGCAGCGCCACGGCCACCGCGCTCGCCATCGTCACCTTTGTCCCGGCCATCGATGGATCGAGCTTGAGCTTGGTTGGCACTAGCTAGGCTGGCTTTGGCTGGGTAGGTGTGCTGTGATCTGACCAGCGTGGCCGATGCCTTATATAGCGTGGAGATAGGGCCGCCCGTGACGCGGGCATGTGCTCCATGCGCGCGCCGCCTAGCTTGTTGTCTCCTTTGGCACGCAGTAGCGGTCACGGGCAAGATCGAATATGCCTCCTCGGCGCCACGGCCACCGCGCCCGCCAAAGCCACATTGTATTGTTCGCCGGCCATCGATCGAAGCACATGCACGTGCGTAGCTAGAGATGCTGCGGGTTTCCTTGTGAGCTCCTGCTTACAGGTGCGTGCATGCATGCATGCATGCGTGCACATGCTCTCCTAGCTGGCTGTAACAATAATCCAAGCCGAGATGGAGTCCAGCGCTGAGACACTTTCACAGTGTACCTATCAGCTGCAGGCTTGTCACTCCCAGTGTTATGTACAGTACACATCTATATTGAGGTCTGACCAACGGACCGACCACGGCCAGGGCAAGGAACATCCCGTGACTGACAGGCATGACTTGCACTATTCTTCTCGGTTTATGCCACTTGTTCCAGAAATCACTGTGTGTGTAGGTCTGTACGTGCACCTTTTACTTTGGGCATACAAAAGACGACCGCTATCCTCTGTTTGATTCGCCACTACCGAAATGAATCACACGGCCGACTAGTAAAGCGAACTGAGCCGCGGATCAATGTGCAAACACAAGCAAGTATAGCCCACCATGTGCAGTAAACCCGGTCAAATGCCCTCGTACTGTTTGGATTTGTGCAACTATTGAGTTCATCTTGGAGTATAGTGTCGTGGTACCTACAGCTACATCTTTTGTTCAAACTTGAAAGTTGAGAAAGTGGAAAGAGCAAAACAAGGGCAAGAGGGCAAAGCCGTGGTCCCAAATGCTCCAGTGTCCATGTACTGCTATGTGTTCAACCATGGGCATACCTACGATTATATAAAAAAACTAGTGGAACTGACTATACTTTATTTAGCAGGATAAGAACCAGAAGGAGCTGCACGGAGCAGCATGAAAAGCAGATCTGAGCATTGTCGCTTTGAGACAACTACTCCGCTGTCCCTCTACCTAAGGCAAACACATCGAAAGCCTAAGAGCATTATTAGTAGAACCCTCAAACCCTCGAACCCTCACTAGCGTTTTAAGGGTCCAAAAATGATTTTTTTGTGCACGTTTACGGGTTGAAAAACAGGGGCAAAGATTAGAACCCTCAAACCCAACCCTTATAACAGAATATTCCCCATGAACGACGTTGTCGTTGCGCGCGGGAGGTCGACGGGGCGGCCGCCAGCGACGGGGGCGACTAGCAGCGGCGGTCGCGGACGTGGGCGCGGGAGTTGGGAGGATTTTTCCCTCCCGCGCGAGTATAACCGCCAAATGAGGGTTGGGGTAGGTTTTGCTTCCCAACCCTTACTTTTGAGGATTGGGAGAGGGTTTGAGGGTTGGACCTTTAAAATAATTGAAGGGGTTGAGGGTTAAGGGGTTCTAGTCTACGGCTTTTTTTCGACAAAAACTGTAAAAAAGCAGTTATTTTTAGGGGTTTGAGGGTTTGAGGGCTCTACTAGTAATGCTCTAACGCGCACACAGGCTGTGCTAGCTTTCAAGCAAAAGGAGGATAAAAACCTGGAAAAGCTAAAGGGGGGAAACAGAAAAGAAGGTCGCTATGCGGGCCGCGGTTTATAGAAATCGGTGGGTTTATGACGCCCACGTCTTTGTCAATGTTGTTGATTCCAAAAGATTCTTAGATGGCCCAACAAGGAAAAGCCCATGGATTGGAATTGAGATTTGGAGCAATTTTGTTTGTTTTCCCCAAGCAGAGCGTAGGTGCCAAAGAAGAACGAGAAGAAGCCAAAAAAAAAGCAAAAGGAACACAGCAGAGCATAGAACACCACACATCAGCAGTAAATGATCTCGGTCTGAAAAAAGTGTGAGAAAGGAACTATTTACCTGATACAAAAAAGATAATTCCCTATTGCATTAAAAGAAGCTATTGTGGCAATACAGGAGTTTATGGTAACCTCATATAATCATGTGAAAATCTCAAAGCATCTTTGCTTGATATACTCTTCAGGTGATTTGCCAAAATTGGGTGCGCCATTATGCTTGGCAAACTCAACAATCCGCTTTCTATAGTTCATTACCTACTACAGTGTTTGGCAAACTGAAAGTAATGTGTAGTTGAGGGCACAAGTGTACGTCAAAGGGGATCATAAGCCAAAGTATGTTTAATAAATCACCACAGAAAAGCAGTAACCTGAGTGTGCAAACAGAATTGTTGGCGATTGGAATGGGCTTCGATGAAGAACATTTCTGATCGGCAATTTTAGATCACCAGGCAACCTGCCCTTTTTAGGGAAAAGTGGCCACGAGAAATCACATATTACTTATAGCTTCCTCCAGGCCCCTGACATAAATACAACACCAAAAGCAGTGATAAATGTTTCCCCCTTGAAGCAGTAAGGACAACTTACCATATCTATAAACTTTCTTCTCTTAAGCTCATCTCCAACATAAATTCTCTGAAAACAAATACACCAAAGATGGATTTTTACCTTTTTTTGGAACTTTAGCATTCCAAATCTTCAGCCAACCATTGTGTACTTCTACAGAAGAAGACGTTCCACCTTTTTTTATCCATGTTAATAATGAGCTTCTTGCCTTTTCAGCTTGAACACGGAAGGCCTTGTATGCTTGTAGCAGCTTGGCAGTGATGCGGCTCGGGTGCGGACGCGGAAGGCCTCGACGCCACGTTTGGGCATCATGCACACCTCCTAGCGCTCGTCCTCGTCGAGCCCCACCAGCGGCTCCATGGCGTAGATTGTATGATCTACTATTGTGTCTTTTCGCATGACCAATTCAGTGTACAGCGCTCCTATAGATCGGGGTCTCTGGCGGCCTAGATCAGACATGATGAGGATGATGGACGCAACCCTGCTTGGTGCTACCGTAAATTCTGTTGGGAAAATGCAATGCATCCCACTTCAGATGGTAGATCGCGAGCAGAAGCTGCTGGTAGTGCAACGCAACAGCTACAGACAACTAAAAAGCTTCAACGGAGTGTAGATGCTCTTAAGGTGAAGGATGATGTGATTGGCAGATTGCAAGCACATGCTATTGCTGCCGAAAAGAAGCCATAGAAAGCTCTAAATTAAGCTTAAGAATAATGAAATTGGCCAATTGGCCAAAAATAACCTACTGTGAAATGGTAAGCTTAAGTGGACTGTATATGGTCTTAAGCTTTCAGAAATCCAAAGACTTAAAGATGCGCAATATGAAACTAATCAGAAGCGCAGGCGACCAAGCGTGTCTCTTTGACAGTTAATGTACGTATCACGTTTGCAATTTTATGCTTGGGTTCACACTGAACCTTTTTTCCTTTGTTTATTTGTTTATCAATGGACAATGCTGCCTCCAGTTTAGTAAGTAAATCTTAATCCAAATTTACTGCTTGGATCAATTATCTAGAAAAACACTAAAACTACTTGCGAATTCAATGCATCTCTATCAAGATACAAATTAATAGATGTAAAACTGAATAAAATACACTGAATAACAGATGACACAGGTACACAGCACAAACAGAACCAATGGTAACTGTTTTTCTTTTTTTTGACAATTAAGGGTAACTCGTTGTGAAGAAAATAGACAATCAAATCCTCTTGACTACAGCACAACAAATTCACTTCAATTTGTCACTCCTCATCCTAGTTCAATTCACACCACATGGGGCAGGCCAAGGGCATGGTCATAAAATCACTCCGACTTCCTGCAACTACTAAGCGTCGTTACTGCTATCGGCACCATGTGTGACAAAGGCACCGATAATTGTCAGATCAAGCCACACAAGATAAACTTCATACTAATATTAGATGACCTTATTGCTGACAGACCAAGAAGAGAAACTTCTTCCTGTCAACGCAACACAAAACAAACAGAAGCAGCAGTGCCAGCAAACCATGCGATTTACTTCTCTGTAAATAAAGACCAAGCATACATGTATTACTTCTAATTTTATCGGGCTAGCAGCAGAGGTAATTAGGGAGCAAGCTAATTATTACCGTATCTTGAAATCAAGGCCGGATGAGGACCACGACAGCAGCTGTTCCACATCCATTGTTCCCGCGCTGGCTGTCTCCTCCACCGGCGCCGCACGTGAGACGTAACTCCGATGCTTCCGCAAGCAGGGGCAGCCTACCTTCTCTCCCCCCGCCGGTGTGAGCGGGTGCCCTCTACGAGGAACTCTGGATTGGAGAGGATCTCCAGGTCCGGGAGAGATGAGACCTCGGGGGTGAGGAGAGCCGGCGTGATCCGGACTTCCAGGGAGGCGGAGACATGCGGGGAGCTGGCAACCGAGACTCTGGCGGCGGCGGCGGCGGCGGCGGCGTGGGATGACTAGAGAGACGAGAGAGACGAGAGAGAAAGGTAGGAAGTACGGAAAATAAAACGAATCGTTTTTCCAATGCCAGGGGGTAACACATGAGGATCCATAAAGAAATATAAGGGCGTGTAGACCAATCTGATCTAAACACTCTTATATATTTTTTGAGGGAGTATTAGAGTAACAAACAATTGATTATTGTACAATTGTATGCACGTGACAGAAATAATTGTACTAATACTGGTTCAAGAATTACAAGGGAAATACATAAGTATTGGTGTTTTGTTGTATTTGATTGTGTTATATATTTATGTGACCGTGAACATTTGAATTAATAATAGGGTGTGTCTCGCTCTCATCTAGATGAGACATAATGTCTCATCTAACTCCTACACCGTTAAATTTTACACGGAGATTCGTGAGGATTTTTTTTGTTTGGTAAATCGAATAATGTAGGAGTCAGGTGAGACTTTGTTAATTCTCACCTACTCCCTCCGTCCACGAATAAGTGTACATCTAGTTTTTGTCTTAAGTCAAAGTTTTAAAACTTTGACCAATTTTCTAGAAAAAAGTAAA